ATGACAACAACTGCCACTGTCGCAAGCAGTTTGTGAGTAGATACCATAGACTTTGGCATCAGAGACAAACTGTGGCTGTTGGGTACTTCTATGCGCAGCTCTTGTGCAACACTTGTTGCCTGAACTTCAAAGAGAAGTGCTACAAGAACCCTTACAAACAGAGTGCCTTCATGGAATGCTGGTTTGTGTGGTGCAGCCTGTATGGCAGCAGACTGGAGCAATGGTTGGCTCACCAAGTGGAGGAGCTTGTCTGCAAGCTGCATGCTGCCTTCCAGAGCACCAAAAGAACCATAAGGTGGTCTTGAACTTCGATGATGCCATGTTCTAAGGCATCTGCGTGAATGCTGTTTGCTAAGTGCAACAGCTGGAATCTCCAGGTCCCAACACCTGGACCAAAAAAGGCTTTAATGTTTGTTGCGAACTAGCTTGTTTGCCATAAAAGGCTTATTGTTGCCATAGAAGGCTCATCATGGTTGCTTTTGTCAAAAGAGCTTGTGTATAGCCTGCAGCAACTTCCAGCTGCAGCAAACACACCAAGTCACAACACCCACAGACAAAACAGTTCACATACCATGTTTCAAAAAAATATATAACACCAGAACACGCCATGGCACAATATCCACTGCAGACACAGTACATGCATGTGCACAATGTCATGAAATAGACAGACCACAGATATATGTGTGCGCAGCATGACTGACCACTTGCAACAGGCCAGTAAACTTGAAAACATGTTTCAGCAGTTTTGACGGCATCCTTGCAGATGGAACCATGCTCTTGACTGCTGCAGAGCAAGTCTTGCAAAGCATGTCTACAGCAGGCTGGCAGGATGCTATGGTTCCAAAGTGCCACTTGCCCTTGCATATAGAGCTGACTGCTTTGGAGTGCTGGGATATGTGCCAAGGAGGTCTTGGCTGATGATCTCCACAAGTTGACTGCACCTGTGGTCTTTGTGCAAGAGCCTGCTTTGGTTGCACCTGTTTCTCCTGCCAAAAGCATTGGCTGGGTGTTTGTCTTGCTTGGAGATAGAGGTGTACACTAGTACCGGAGCAAAGCTCGCCAAATGGATATTGCAACAAAGGTGACATTGTGGCCTTGGAAAGCCCAAAGACTGCTCCTTTGGCTGCTGAAATTTGGGTGTTCATTGAAACGCCAATTTTTCTTGGCTGCCTGGTGTCTTGCCTGGATTTGGTTGAATATTTGCGTGCAACAAACTCAGCTTCCTGGACATTTGCAAGCAAAAGAGCATTGGTCGAAGTGGACCAGCTTGTTGCCCCAATGTACCATTGCAAAATGCCAAATGGCATCAGGACTTTGCTTCCATGGCATTGGGAAAACTTCGCTTGCACGTTTGATGCTCAAGCCATAAAAGGCCCTTGCCATAAAACGCTCCACGCGTGACCATGAACATGTTGCATAGGCACTTGCAAGATGAGTGCTGTGTGGAGTGAACTGGCCATTAAAGGCTTTTGCAGGTGGTACAGCCCCCGCAATCAGAAGAATTGAGACGCCTGTTGGTTGATCTACTGGCAGTGCAGAACAGAGATGATGTTCGAGGCCGAGTCTATCCTCAAACATTGTCGTTTTGTTTAAGTTTCTATAGGAATATGTACATCTCGTGCGGTGTAAGACTGCTTAGATTTTTGGCGTAGGCTGAATTCTATATTGGAATTAGTAACTCAAGATAATCTTCAGACCATATGCGTGAAAATCTTGACATATAGGCGTGGAGCACACCCTACAGCAAGTACGCTCCTACGTGGAAGAGCAGAAGACGTGGCCTGCGCGTGGTCCGAACACACACGCGGACGCACTGGCTCAATCTTGGCATCGCTTGCTGTCACAAGCGTGCATGTTGGACCAAACTTTGAAAGATTCTTATTCCGACTTGCTCACTGCATGGTGCGCGAAGGAGCGTTGGGAAGCCGCCCACAGAGTTGGTTTCGACCAGTTTTTCAGAGGCAAACAGCTTCAGGAGGTTGTCGCTGAGTGTGCGTTGCTGAGAATCGAGAGGTTCAGAATTTTGTTTGTTTTGTTTTTTACATGCAGCAATTGCTTCACAAGATTTTCAAAACAAGATATAGGCATGTTTTTTTGTGTTTTTTGTTTTGTGTGTTCGCACCAAGGCAGGGCTTGGCTAGTTGTTGTGGCCAACCTTTGCCTTGAAAGGCTCAGCAGGGTTCATTTTAAAAACATTTTTGTTTGCCATAAATAAAGGCTCATGTGTGCCATAGAAGGCTCATCATGGTTGCTTTTGTCAAAAGAGCTTGTGTATAGCGTGCAGCAACTTCCAGCTGCAGCAAGCACACCAAGTCACAACACACACACAAAAACAGAGTTCACATAGCATGTTTCAAAACAACAAACCACCACAACACACCATGGCACAATATCCACTGCAGACACAGTACATGCATGTGCACAAGGTCATGACATAGACAGACCACAGATGTACGTGTGCACAGCATGACTGACCGCTTGCAACCGGCCAGTAAATTTGAAAACATGTTTCACCAGTTTTGAGTGCATCCTCGCAGATGCGACCTGCTGCCATGACTAAGCCATGGGCGGCTGAGAGCCCAGGAGCTTGTCACACAGGCTTGTCACAGACATGCAGTGGCCAATTCAAAAGTAAGGTGTCCGCCTCAAATGAAGAAGGAGTGAATGTTTTACCAATGACACCCCATGCTGAAACAAAAACAATACAATCTGTTGTAGAGCACCATTGCCTTCGCAGGCCTACCTGGCATAACATGCGCCATCTTGTTTGCCCTAAGAGGCTGACACTTGGTTTCCAAGGCTGGTGCTTTTTTGTGTTTTTCATGGATTGCCTTAGAAAGCTCATATTTGTATCAATTCGCCTTCAAAGGCTCACATATATTTGAGTGATTGCATTGTTTGAGGCTTACTACATATGTGTATTTATAATCAGTATATATAAATATATTTGCCTTATGAGGCTCACCCTCTTGTCAATCATTGACTGGGAATGTGTAATTCTGCAGTAGAGGCTCCTCAACCAAAGTTGACAAGCTAGTGTGCCACTTGAAGCACACAACTCCTATACAGAACGCAAAAATGGTCTCACTGTGCAATGTAAACACATGCAATACAATACATGCACCACATGCACATGACTGCAACAGTTTTTTCACATCTCATTTGTGTCACAAATCCAGGCCTGATGGATAACTTCTATGCACAGTGGGCCCAAAAGCTGTCTGATGAGCTTTACAGCACTGCTCAAGAACCAGAAGAACAACAAGGGCCTGCTCCAACGCCTGCTATGGCTGCAGCAAAAGTGCCTCCAGGCAATGCAGGGAGGAAGAGGAGTCAGCCTGCGCCTGTACAGGTGAAAGAAGAAGTGACTGATCAGCTCCTCAGGGCAGTGGCTGGCTGCCCAGCAAGGCGCAGTACCGGTGCAACTGGTGAGGCACCATGTCTGCAGCTACTGCAGTTGCTTGGCAAATGCAATGCAATGTATGTACAAGGTCTATGTTTGTAAGTGTGCTTAGTTCTAGGTTCATTAGGCATGTGTTGCCTTGACAGACTTGGCTTAAAAGGCTCCCAGCCTTGATCACTCGTTCAAAAAACTTTTTTGTTTGAGGCTGGGCCTCCAGGAAAGAAGATGAGGCTTGGAGAAGGCCACCAGCACATGTCTTCTGCAGCTCTGCAACAGCAGCTCTGCAGCAGCAACAACAGCAACAGGAGCAAATGTTTGCTGCAGCTATGCACCACCAGCAGCAACAACAGCAGCCAATGTCTGCTGCAGCTTTGCACCACCAACAGCAGCCAATGTCTGCATGACCGCTCTCCCTCGCGATTCTCCTTTTGCTTTCTTGAAAGGCGCCAATGATGTCCTCGGAGCAGAAGTGGTGGACGGCGCCATGCTAGTTCGCTACAAAGAGGGCGACAGCTCCGTGAGGAGGAGCAAGAGAGTGCGTTCTGGCGCTGCGGCCCTGATGTCTCTGCAGCGTGCCGTGAGTGCTTCTCTCGAAACTTGCGGGAATACTCATTGGGCGACAGACGTCGACGTTGTTGCATTGGCCACAGAGCTCAATCTTGGCTTCGTCATTGCTGGAAATACTTGGACCCAGACGTCTGCCGTTCGAGGCCCTAGTGACACATCCAAAAAGTTTAGAATTGTAATTCTTCTCCTTTCTGACTCGTGTTTACGAAAGACCCATGCGAATGTTGGAATAATGAGATGACCTAGGATAGTTTTACTCACTTCCGTTGTGTGCGTCTCATATACTTCTTGTTGATGCAGGTGAGACGCAACAACGCACGGTCTTGCACTTCTATTTACAAGAAGACCAGACGCCGCAGTTGTGGATTTCTCTGTGTTACGTGGACGGTTACCATTTTCAAGTGCTCATTTTCGAGATTTCGGACAATGCCATTGTTTCTTTCGTGATGTGGATCTGCCACAACCTTTACGCCAGTGCTTGATTTGAACGCAAAACGAAGACCCTTCATGACGAAGACGGAGCTTGGTGGTGAAGTCCCCAGCACATGCTGCCTTGGTGGTGGAGTCCCCGGCGCATGATGTCCAGCACCGTGCCGGAGCGTGAAAAAGATAATTTGACCGGCTGTGTCTCTTTCTATACGCAGTGGATTGACATACGTGTTTGCATTCGGGTTCGTGGGCTCCATCTTGTCTTTTTCAGTCACCATTGGACCGTACAGGCCTGCCAGTGAAGGCGAGGAGTTGTGAAAAACAATGAGGAAAGCAAGCTAGACAAAGCGTCAAGCTTCCTAAGTTACATTTGTTGACCCTCCTGTATTTTAGCAAACCCACCTGCACGCCCCGCATCAAGTTACATTGAGTTTTGGGTGCGGGGGTGGCCAAAAATGTAACTTAACTTACATTTGGCGGCGATGTCAAAGCAAGTCAAGTGTTCCGTCATTACTGGTGCCGCCGGGGCTACCGCACAAACACGAACACATTCATGGCTGGCACACTTCTTGTTGCAACTCACCGCCCAGGGCCCATGACTTCACTGGTGTTGGCGGAAATCATTCCCGTTTACAGAAACGATCAAGAAAATGTGCGCCAACACGGCCTCGCCATTGTTGGCCACGTCCAAAATATCGAACAAAGCTTGGGCAGGGACGCCAACCTGGAGCTCGGCCAGTCGAGGATCTGAAGGGCAATGGCGGCTGATGTCACAAAGGCCAATGTCCTGCGCAGCAAATAGGGTTCACTCTCCCACTTCACCATGTGGGACACAATGGGACACATGCGTTGTTGGCCCTTGATGGACATTTGCACTTAGGGCCTGAGAGAAACCCTTTGAACCCTCAGCGCAACGTCGGCCTTCCAAGCACTAGCAGCACTAGCGCAAATATACTCCACGTCATTCCATTTCTATCAAATACGAATAGGGCTCAGGACGAAGTCACGGCTCTGCGCGAGCTGGCGCAGGCGTTAACAGTCGAATTTGCAAACGGTGGGCCGGCGGCAGAAGAGCTTGGAAAGATTGTTCTTGCCTATGTGTCACGCCCTGTCAATGCCGTACGCCTTTGTCGTTTCTAAGCAATTGCTTCCAATGTTGTGTGGTATTCGCGGTGCTTTCTGAAAACTGCAGGGCCACCGAAGGGAAAATGATATGCATTTCAATGCTAGCAGGTTGTAGCCGTGCTTTCTCAAAACACGAAGAGTTTGTTTGATGTCGTTTCACTTGGCGCGACAGTTAGCACCTTGATATGTTCACTTCCATAACGGCATTTTGTTGACTGCCAGGGATGACATCATGTCAAGCCAGGCTGTCATGCCCAGAATGACATCATGTCATGCCAGGGATAACATCACGTCATACCATGGATGGTGTGATGTTCTGCGGATTGGCATCATGTCACGCCAGGGGTGACATCACGTCATGCCGGGCATGACCTGATATTACATCGGTCGGCGTCATATCATGCCAGGGATGACGTTATGTCATGCCAGGGGCGGCATCATGTCATGCCAGCGATGACATCGTGTCATGCCAGGGTGGCACGCTGTCATTTTGTGCATAACATCGTGTTGCGCAGCAATGATCATGATGTCGTCCGGGCAGCTTTGGCTGGTCCTTGCCGACCTTGCAGTTTTTCGTCTGTGTTGCAAAGCGGGCGCATTCAGCTGATAGATGTTGCGCACATTGGTGGTGGACTGGTCTGATGTTGCGTGCTGCGGTGACAGCCGTCCGCGGCATGTCCTGTCAACACTCCTTTCAACCTATACAGCCGCTATCTAGATGGGGTCTATGCTGGTGTAGTTTCTAACATCAAAAACACAGGATACTCCCCAGATAGCTACAAGCCATAGGAGCTCTTACTTCTCAATGGTGTGGCTCTGGATTTCGCTTTGTGGGCACTGCTGCTGGTGCAGGTGCTGGCGTGTAGTTCTGCCCGCGCTGGCAGAGAGACCCCCCAAAACGGGGGTTTAAAGTTTAAAGGGCGCGCCGCGGACGGCTAACACACCGCAGCACGCAACATCAGACCAGTCCACCAATGTGTGCAACATCTATCAGCTGAATGCGCTAGCTTTGCCCTGGCATGACATGATGTCAGTCTGGCATGACATGATTCCACCCCTTGCGTGACATGATGTCTGCCGCCAAGTTGCAGGACTGTAAGATACTGTAAGCAAAGTCTCCAAAAACAGTCGATCAGTGGAAAACCCCGATCCAGCGCCAGCGCCAGCACGCCCCCAGAAAACGCCGCCGCGCCAACACGCCCCAACCAAACGCCGATGACCATGTGGCACCTTTTCCGATGTGTCCACACCCACCTAAAGCCATGAAGTGCAAGAGTTGTGGAATGTCGTTCAGAAGGAACAAATCAGAAGAACAAAAGAATCGAAATCAGACCGCCTCCAACCTAAGAACGATGGCGATGGCCTCCCCCTAAGAGCGACGGCCTCCAACCTAATAGCGATGGTCTCGCAGCCAGACCCGATCTTTTGAAGGCCCTGTGGCACCATACAGGAGTCAAACAAAGCAACAGAAGAGGCAGTGCCAGCGCCATGGCTTGCGTCAATGCCAGCTACCCACCGATTCCGATGCTGCCAGAATCTCTCAAAGCTATGTCAGAGGACAAAGTCGCAAAGGAAGTTGCAAAAGCCACCAGGCGATTCTGGTGGTGGCAGCGGCGTCGTGCGAGACACGCCTCTACAAGTCGAAAACAAAGCAGATGGAGAAAAGAAAGTGAAAGTGCAGGCTTCTGGCGCCAGAAGCAGCGACGAGTCAGATTTGGAGCGAGAAGAAGGTAGACTTGAAGCTGCTTTGCCGTGACTCGTGACTTGGCGTTGCTCAACAGCTATGCTTATTATCCTCTGAAGCAGAAAAAGTGCTCAAGTCACGGACTGCCGAACTCGGTGCCCCCCACGTGAAAGCACCGAAGTGGAGGAAGAGGAAAGCCAAAGGAGCCACCTGCTCAGCGACGCAAGGTCCAGCGGTAACGATCCCAAGGCTGACTTTGCGACGTCGACTTTTGCATCGTGGATCCGTCTTGGACGGTCCGCGGCGCAAACCCCGATTTCGGCGTTTGGTAGATTTTAAAAACCTTGCCATGTGACATCGCCGGGATTTGAAACTTCCTCAGATTTTGAGGGCTTACGCCCGACAGCCGGCCAGGGGCGTCAAGTCAGGGGGCTGGGGGGCGAAAGCCGCGGTCGTGGTCCAACATAGCGTCAACATAGGGACAAGCTGGGCCAACAGAGCCCCAAGATGAGCCAAGGTAGCGCCAAGATAGGCCAACATAGGGTCAACATGGGCCCAACATAGCCCCAAGATGGGCCAAGATAACGCCAAGATGGGGGAACGTAGTGCCAGCATCGGCCAAACATCCGCCCACGATGCAGATGAAGCACCCCGGTGCGGCGCAGATTTACAGCATTATTTGGGCCTATGTTGGGCTATGTTGACCCATCGTGAGCAACAAGAGCGGAAAAAAAAACGTGCTTGGTTTTCTGGGGCCCGGACCTGGGGGCGGCTACGCTTTCTGCTTCGCAGAAGGAGAAGTGCCTTACCGGCAGGACACGGCCAACGGGGCTCATCGCCCCTGGCCGGATTTGATGCCATCTTTCTTGCGACGAGATAGGGCATTGAGTCTTGAGGGTTTCAAGATGCACAATTCCTATGGCAAAGCTGATGGCGCCGATTGAAGCGAGAGATTAGATCTGTTTTGATGCAGTTTCCTTGGCTCTTCCGGCTTCTGCATGTTCTTCTTTGCTTTGCCGCCTTTGCCGATACGCACATGTCAAAGACGGATCAAATTATCCCGGCAAGAGACCCCAAACAGTGTGTGTGAGGCCTATAAGCAGAAAGTCTAGAGATCTAGATGCATCGGGGTCCAAAGAGGTGATGGTGGTGATGAAGGTGGGGGTCGTGGTGACGGTGGCGATGGTGGTGAGTGAGTGAGTGAGTGAGTGAGTGAGTGAGTGAGCGAGTGCGAGTGTGAGTGTGAGTGTGAGTGTGAGTGTGAGTGAGAGTCGGAGAGTGAGTGAGTGTGAGTGTGAGAGTGAGAGTGAAAGTGAAAGTCTGAGTGCGAGTGCGAGTGAGAGTGAGAGTGGTGAGCGTGAGGGTGAAAGTGAGTGTGAGAGTGAGAATGAAAGTGAGAGTCTGAGTGCGAGTGAGAGTGAGAGTGGGAGCGGGAGTGAGAGTGGGTGAGTGAGTGAGTGAGAGTGGGTGAGTGAGAGTGAGAGTGAGTGTGTATGAGAGTGAGAGTGAGTGGGTGAGTGTGAGTGAGAGTGAGAGTGCGAAGGAGAGAGTAAGAGTGAGTGTGAGTGAAGAGTGAGTGTGGGTGTGAGCGTGTGTGAGTGAGTGAGAGTGAGAGTGAGGGGGTGAGAGGTTGAGCATCTGAGAGAACAAAGTGCTGTGCCTGCTACGAAATCTTCGCATCGAGGTTCACCAAGTGCTGTACCTGTCACGAAAAGTCGAATTTGAAGCACCAAAACACGAGGTTTCCCTTGCGCCTGCCACGAAAAGTGACCGCCATGTGCGAAAATGCGCACGGCGCCACAACGAGAGCGCAGTCGTCAGAAGCACCCGCCCGGGGCACCCAGACTTTTGCGAGCCTGCGTAGTCAAAATGCACGATGACGATTTCGAGAAGCATGAATGTACTGTAAATAGCAACGAATTAGCCGTTCACGCCCGCGCGCTTCAGCGATCTAAGCATCAGCTGCTTTTCTATTTTCTACTACCGTAAGAACCCCTAGTGCGTCCACACTGTTTGGGGAAAAAGCACGAAGCACCCGATGAAAGTTGGTCGAGAGTTGATTGATGAGAGTCCCAAAGCGAGGATCACATCGGTAGCAGGTTGACGCTTCAAACATACTGCTGCATCAGGAGTCTACAATGAGCATAAGACTCACCAGGCCACGTGTCACGTGTCGTTTTGTTCGCTTCAGATTCGTTTTTCTCCAATTCCTTTTGTTTGCCTTTTTCCATTTCCTTTTCTTTTGAACTACCGACCGTTGATCGCTCACTTCGCTCTCGGTGCATTTTGAGCAAAGTATCGCAAATGGCTTGCAAATGTCCTCGCACCTTGCAGATGTGATCATGCTTCCTTTCTTCTTTCTTTGCTTCTGTTGCCATGTTGGTCGAATGGTGAGACCGAATGGCGAGGTCAATGCCTTTTCATTAGACCAAATGACCCTGTTGAGTAACGCTAGCCATCCTCGAAGCGCTGATTTGATTGCGCCAACTTTGGCAAATGCTCTAGGAGTGCTTAGCGACGTATAAAACGCTCACCCTGGAGATGTGTCTAGATTGAGCGGCATCGTTGGCCTTCAAGAGACTAGAATGGAACACCCTCAAGGATAAAAACGTGGCTCCTCCTCAACAACAAAAGTAGCAAGCAGCACCAGCAGCACCAGCAGCCACCGAACAACAGTTAGATCCACGCAAGAAAGCGAGACCCAAACCTTTCGTTATTCCTTCTTTAAGAATGAAATCCGGGTCCAGCATCTTCTGTGCAAAGCTCATGCTGTTGAAAAGCTGGTTGTAGTCGATGGTGACAAAGGGATCGCTAATGCGGTCGTGTTGCTGACAGCAACGCACCCTCAAGTCTTCGAGGACAGAAGCAGGAGCAAAGTGCCTCACACCTTTTACAAATTCTCGGATTGAAAGGCGGCCATCGTGATCGATATCAATCAAGTTGAAAAGAACTTTGGTTTCCTTTTCGCTCATGGAGAGAGGCAACAAGAGCTCTTGAAAGTGCTTCAACACAAGTCTTGGTGCAGAAGCACAATCATTGAGAGCACTATCTTGAAACGCATCGGCAAATTGTGCTTTGAAGCTTCTAAAACGTTGTCGAACCTTTTTCCTCAAATCTTCCAGGAACAACGAGGGCTCCGACAGACCGATGGCCGACACGAACTCGTTGCGGCTGATCTCGCCCGAGGCGTCCACGTCGATCTCCCGGAACATCTTCCGGGCCTGGAACGAGGCGCTACCTAGGAAAAATAGAAGAAACCAAGTCATTTTAAAATAGACCTTCAAAGTATTTTCAATATTTGATTGTATATTTCTACAGTAATTGAAAACTAGTAGCAAAAGGACGCTACTATAGGAACTTTCTCGCGCGCGCGCGGGGGGGGGGTAGAGGACACTAGGAGCAAAGGGCATCGCTACAAGAAACAATGTTGGCTACTATAGGGGCTACTACGGGGCTACTAGGAGCAAGGACGCTGGACGCTACTAGGGGCCCCTGGCCTTACTACTACGGTATCGCTTTTAAATGCGTGTGGATATTAATCAACTTGATGTGAAGTCAAGATTCAAGATGACTATCCGTATCTCCCAACCATGTGCTGCAGAGGGCTTCTTTTCCTTTCACAATGGGAGTCTTGAGCCAAAGTAGGCCACACACGCGTGAAAGATTCTATACATATGTTGATTGTGGTATTGCCCCACTGCTGTTGACACCCCCCGTGTGATTAGCGCTATGAGCGTTCATCACACTTCGAGGGTAGTGAGCCATACAGTGTACCACTGCCTGGCCGCAGGACCTACCAAAGTAGTCCTATACTACACATCACTATCAAAACTAAGCGGTCTTTACATATTATTCAGCGTGCAAGTCATCCCATAAATCTTCCGTAGGATCTAATTAATGAAAACCGACAGTGAAGGTTTTGCCTCCTCACTCAGAATCCACTCAGTACTTCTCTTCCAGGATGTAGATTGAGCTTCATACCTTCATCTGTAAAAGGTTCGGATGTAAATACTCTCATAGCTTCAAGGTCTAGCGATGTACGCTAGCCTTGGTCTTGCTGGGTATCATCATCTTCCTCGTGGTCTTCTTCTCCATATTCTTCTTCAAGATCTTGGTCCCACTCTCGCCAGCTCCTGCGTGTTGTCTTGAAGTTTTGGTTCCAGTATGGAGCATCCCAATGTCTTGGATCACGTCGATGTCGTGGATTTGTCCATGAGCCGTCACGAAAGGTAGCATCATAAGTATTCATATGCATGGCTGGTGGCTGCCAGTCGCGAGCACATCGATTTGTTTGCTCAAATGTTCGCAGACCTGCATGACCATAGATCTTTCCTTTTCCTTCTCCTTTTCGTTCATATACTTTGTTCCGGTCTTGAGCACGGTAGCTTGGAGAAGCTGCCTCACACTGTGGTCTTTCATCTTCAGGCACAATCATGTGGTTTTTGTCTACCAACTGTTTGATCTGTTCCTTGTTGCTGAGGCTCTTCCATCGCTCCATTGCTTGCGGATCATGACGATTTGTCATCTTCGCTAATCACCATTTTGCTGCTGGTAGGAGAGTGATGTTCGCCTGGTCCATTACCAAAATCACCACTGTATCCCATTTGTTCTGAGCTCTGGAATAAAGGGGAATAATGCGCTTGCGCATGGATGTGTCTTCCAGGTCGTTTCTGAAATAGGAATACGAATTGACGCTGTAGATTGCATTCACACACTTCTTGATCAATCTCGACATGGATTCCTGTTTTGCTCTCTTGCTGGCCTCTACCATTTCAGGTTTCGTGCCTGGCGGTGGATTGTTTGTCTGAACAAATTCTGCCTTGAAGCTTTCTGGTGTGTACACGAAAGCGACGGCTTGCAATGCGAACTTTCTCAGCATTTGTTCTCCTCTGAACATGTACCATGCTTCTTTCGTGGTGACCTTCTTCCATTCTGCAAATGCTTGCATTTGTTTCTCCGTTGGGTCTTTGGGCATGTCGTCGTCATCGAATCCGTTGCCTACCCCATCGGTAAAGTCGGACATCACATCCAATCTTTTCTTGGAAAAGAGTTCACGGAATCGGGCGATGCCAGTTGTATGATATGATGTATACATCGGCTTGATGATTTGTGCCATGCATCGATCAAGGTATCTATCCATAAGCGCTGATGATCCCGTGATCGTGTCTTGGCAACCGGCTTCGTCCTGAGGATCAAATGGAACTGGTTCCGGATATCTGCACCATTTTGGAAGTTCATGATTGGCAAGATGTTCATCAGGATCTTCTCTCCCGTATTCATCTTCACCAATTCTTCCTGCACCACGTTTGGTGTCTTCTGCTTCAATTTCTTCGACCACTTTGTCTGTTGTTCCATAGAAATCGGCTGTGCTCTTGTTCATTGCTTCTTGTTCATCGATGACTTCCTCGACCTGTGGAGCTTGGGAGTCGCGCTCGTAATCCACCTCACCATCGTTGAAGGTTGGGGTGAATAGCTCGTGGCCTTCATCCTTCTTAGATCCTTGGTCTTTCTCTTTCCAGAAGCCTTCGATGTTCTCCTGGTTCATCTCTTCATCGTCATCATCTTGAACGATCTGAGATTGAATTGCTGATTTGATCTCTTCCATCTTTGCCTTATCGATGACCTTTTGTTTTTCTTTGTCTGGGTCATTTTCTTTCTCTGCCTCTGGGTCTTTCTTGGTTTCCGCCTCCTCATCATTGTCGTCGATCTCAATGACGTCGTCGGTGGAAATTGTATTCTTGACCCCGCAGCTGAAGAAAGGTCCATGACAGTGAAGACATAGGGTAAACATGATTGGTGTCACGCTCATGCACGCAGGGCATAGGATGTTTCCATCTATGTTGTTGTAGCCTTCACAAGTTCTGGCGATGATCACATTCCATGGCTCTTGTTTTGACTTCCTCGTGTCTCCATGAATCACAAGCTCGTCAAGCCTTCGGATGTTGTCATCCCTCCTTGTGCTTTGCTTGATGACTTCTTTTGCCCTTTCCGCGATCTGTTCTTTTGTTGCGATCTTGTTTGCATACCTCGAGGCAGTGATAAGGTGGTTCGTGACCCCTTTTGTCAATAGTCTTTTCCATCTTCCATGTACTGGATCTCTGTACCATGCACTCTTCACGCAATCCCACGGCACCCCTTGGAACATAACTACGTATGAACTTTCGGCGAGTCGGGCACCGAGTCGTTGAAGATATGCAATTGGCACATACAGAACAATAGGAACATCTTCCGTTGGGACTTTTGATCTCAAAATAGTTGTAGCTCTCGTGTCCCACGGTGCGTAGTGGTTGAAGAATGCACTACCTCTTGTGCCTTTGTCCCCGCCAGGGAGTATTCCATATTTCACAATTGATGGTAGCTTTCCCAAGGTCGTTGCATGGAAACTTCCACCGAGCTGAATCACGATCTCATCATTGATCTCGTGGGACGTGAGGCGCGGGTTGAGCGCAATGTCATTTTCATTTCTATATCTGTATGCCTTGACTCCAAATTGTGTGATGACACGGCCCTCATTGCCACCGGCATGACCCATCCATCGTGTCTTCCAAAATACCGTTTGTCATCCGGCGCCTGATATTTCTCTTCCCAATACTTCCTTTGCTCTTCTCTTGATACATCGTTGGGTGTCACCCTGACTGCTGCAATCTGGAATCTCACTCGATTCTGCATCTTCTTGGAGTACCACATTGCTTGACAGCATCGTCGGTATCTCACTGCGAGGACGTCATTCAAGTAGTTTCCTCGACTTGGACTTGCATCTCTTGTGGTCTGGCTCTTGGGCTCTCCAAAGATGTATCCGTACAGCAGTACGTCCTTGATATTCACCCAGCCTCCTTCGTTACATGGGAGAATGTCATGTTGTCTTCCAATTCTTCCCTCGACTACAGATTTCCCGGTCTGGTGCCTTAGCACTTTGTTGAGCTTCCTGCTGATCTCGTGGACCGTGAGGTACTCATCCGTGTCTCTTTGAATGAAGAATCCTGGATCATGTACAGGTGGTTCAGTGAACCTCCCTGACGGTTCCAAGCCATTCCACATCTTGAAACAGAATGTAGTTCCATGTTGAGGGATAATCTCAATGTTGCCTCGATCGCAGTCTGGTTGGATCTGTCGATACGTGACTTTACCAGCTTGTGACTCATCGGCCTTCAAGTGCTCCACTTTCGGTAACTTCGAGCTCAATGACTGTGCTCTTGTAAGTACACCATCGAGTGCTCTCACATTTGGCGGCCCTGATTCGTCAGTTGTCTTGTTGATTGATGACTTTGAATTCACCTCCTTCCGCTTCATATGATCGCTTCATGGATTCAACGGCTCTTTCATAGTCATCATCCTGACGAGCCCCATTGATAGCCGAGTTGCTGATAGCGTTCATCATCCAAGCGTCAAATGAGTCGGACTTGTCTTTGGGAATCTTATACAGCAGCCGACTCCTGCCGATCAGCAAAGGCAATGCGTCACGTGTCACTTGTCAAATGTCACGCGTCACTTGTGGAGCCAAGTAGCAATATTTTGAGCTTGGTGACAAATGGCAATGGTGTCAAGTTGGAAGCGACGGATGGTGACACATTGTAGTAGGCGCAGATCTCTTCCCTAAGTTAAAAATCGTAAAAATGCATGCCACTGACAAATCACAAATGACAAATGACAAATGACTGACTGACATAATCTAACTGGCCATCGAGATGCAACACCTCATCATCCTGGAACCACTCCATCGGGCCATATGGCGAAGGTGGCTCTGCTGGCTCTGGTTCCTCTGGTGACTCTGGCGGACCTGGCTCGTCACCATCATGTGTCTCATCGGCAGGATTGTCAGGTGTCACCTGGTCCTGGTTCTGGTCCTGCTGCTGCTCCACAGTGACACGCTCCTCCTGCCGTGTGTCATCATGCCAAGTGGCATGTGACACATGTGACGACCAGCCACTTGACCAGTCGCCAGACCAGCTCTGACTTGGCTGCCACGACCAGCCGGACCAGCTGTGCCACCAATCATCACCACGCCAAGGCCACATGGCAGGTGGCATGTTCTCAGGAGGAGGTTGTCCTGCTGGTGGCCCTGGAATCCTCAACCTTTTCCTCCAAGGGGCATTGGCAATGTCAGCCTGGTCACCTGGCACGTGGTCACCTGGCACGTGACTGGATGCCTGCTGGCTGGATGCCTGGCCCACGGGGCTGGGTTGGCCACCTGTCACCTGGCTGGATGGTGCCGATGGTGCCATCGCTGGAGCTGCCTGTGCTGGAGCTGCCTGCGCCGGAGGTGGAACAGATTCCTTGCACAGCACGCATTTAGTCATCAATGGTGACATGTGACATGTGACAATATTGAACCAACCGAACCGTATAATCGGTTGAGACAAGATGCCATTTGCGCAGGTGGCATAGGATCCTGGATCTCGATCAGCGGAATCACATGCTGGTAAGTCCTTGGAAGATGGGAAATCAACAGCGATGAACAACAATGGCAGCAATGCGTGTGATGCGTCACATCATAGCTGGCGAGGCACCGGTGCAGGTTCCAACTGTCTACAAAGATTCCCAACGCCCTGATGCTGACATTCTCCAAACTTCCAGCGGCATTGGCCCACATGGCAGTTGGCAAACACCACAGCTGAGCCTTCTCCCTTAGCCGAAGGACAAATCGAAATCGAGTCACAAATTACCCAAGGAATCCTCACGCAACAGGACCAAAGCAGAATCAGTTTAATTGAGCTATGCTTCAGTGTCTCCTGTTCATTGTAGAAGGCGTGCATGCCAACGCACATCTGTGGAAATTGACGCTCGGAAACCAACTGCTGGTACCCAATGATAACATGGCAGCCAAAAGCCTTAGTTGAAGCACATTGTAAACAATTTTAATATTGAATCTCCGATGGCTCAATCATGTGTCATCATGCCTCACCCCTCGAATAGAGTCCAGGCACTTTCAAAATGGCATATACCACAGTGGCGGTGCATGGAGCACGATGCCAGCCAAACGAACAGCAGCACCTTGACAGCACATTTTAGCACAGTTTAGCGACACCTGGCCACCTGTCACGTGTCTCTTGACAGCACATTTTAACACAGTTTAGCAACACCTGGCCACCTGTCACGTGTCAATCAATCGCTGCAGTCAAGACTCCGCACAACCCGGGTCGGGAAGCACAAAATGTCCTCGATGACATTGAGGAAGTCAGGATGTGACATCACCTCCCTCATGGTTGACTCGTTGACACCGCTGTCACGTGAGAAAAAATCATGTGACCTCAGTCAATGCAAATGGCATGTGACATAAAACATTGAAATTTGAAATATGTGACATCTTACGTGCGCAAACTCAAATGCAAGCGGGCGGCATTCTGGACGTGTGCAACAACTGCGCAAGGCGGTGTTCCCAACGGTCGCCCTCCCTGAAGCCGAGGGCCAAATCCAGATCAGCCACCGTGTGGATATGGGAAGAGTTGATCGCGCAGCCAATCTGGCACATGGCAAAATGATCTAAGAGTTCTGTATATGAAAACGCACATTCAAAGACTCAAAGATGAAACACTCAGACTTGGCAACATCCCCAGCATGAGCCTGGTTCAGGCTCTTGTCACTTGTGCCATATGCCACAACCAGGATGGGTTGCGAGGACCAGGCCACTGAGGTGCGTTTTGGCGCGACGACGGTTTTGGTCTCCCACACCTTGCCCCAGTCCACCTCAGCAGCAAAGTATGACAATGGTGTGACAAATGATACATGACAAATCAGTTGACGCGCAAGCCAAAATTTGAAACATCAGTCGAGACGCAGTGCTGGGATCTGGATCTGGCCATGGGCTCTTTGGCACTGGCACATGGCGATTGGCAAATGCAGCAGGAATGTGACTATCGTCAACCTGAGGTGGTACATCATTCCAATAGTCCTCATCCCATATGCTGCTTGGATGGGCCGGCTTGTCGGAGGGTGGCTGCGGCTGTGTCACACCTCAGCTGCTAAAAAGACACTTTTACAATAAGTGACACAGCGACACACACACAGCACATGATTTATTCCAGGAGTCTGTTTGAGTGCATTCTCAACACCCTTCAAAATGTAGCCAGACTTGTCAGTTGGATCAGCTCTCTTGAAGGCAGCCCTTGGCAAGGCGAAAATTCAAAACAATTATTGAATTGTGAGCATGAGCCGGTTCAGATGTCCACAGCGCTGCCAAGACACACCAAATTCACAACAGCCTTTTTATCTGCCAAATGAAGCAAATAAAGTGCCTGAGATCAAGAGGGTTGAGCAAGTGACACATGACACATGATTCAAACATGACACATGACACATGACAGATGATCAAGGGGGTTAAACTTCGGCAAAGGCACCCACACGCACTTCCTGAATTCAACCAAGTTCATGCTCGCAAACACAACCCGAACACAGTCACAAAAGCACCCAGTGCAATCGAGCATCTTCTCCGTGCACACGTAGGTGTCAATCCCCTCGTCCTCCAGGATCTCTTCAGCACGCGGTGGCTGATCGTACTCGTCCATTCACGATGGCAATTGTGATATGTGACATGTGACTCGGCATGTGACATGCATGTGACATGTGTTGGAGTCTGTGATGATTTCTGTGACTGTGACGCCTCATGTGTCAACTTGATCCAAGAATATCATTGAAAGGCAGCTCAACTGTCAACTGTCACCATGACACATGTTTCTCACTTGTCACATGTTTGCAAGTTTAAAATGCTTGACAAGTGATTGCACAAAATGACTCGATCTCCAATCTCGCCTTCTCTGACATAGTCCTTGAAGAAAGCACCCAAATGTCGGACCTCAACAGTGTGACATGTGACAATGTCAATTGAATGAAGCACTCCCGAATCTATGTATCTGCAATCTTCTGACTGACTCTTTCATTGTCAAGTGACAAGTGGCTCTAAAATAATAAGACTCGAATCAGAATGCGTGAAACTGAGGCATATGGCATATGGCATGTGATCCTGGGCAGCTGACCAAGCCATGAAGACAGCCTCAAGTCAAACGGAGCCGACGATTTCAGCAGGAAACATGACTCTGACTTCACATGGCACATGACACTGACAATTCATGCAATGGCAAATGAATGACTCTAATTCTGATTAAAAATTCTGTCCTACCCCCCCTCTCACTGTGGACCGCACCAAATCCTGACAGACAAACTCCTGATTTCAGGAGTTTGTCTGTCAGGTTCCACCTATCACGTGATTTAATTTTAATTTGAGCCGAAATTCTACAGTAAAGGGCGAGCTGTTGATAGGTTAAAAGATTGCAGAAATGCAAAAAACCCCTCAAACGTCCACCCAGTAACAATAAAGCTACTAGGAGCAAAGGTTGGCGATGCCCTTAGGGGCTACTAAGGGG